AGGAGGCAGCTTGTAAGGAAGAATATCTACAAGGAGGAGTATGTTTAGTTCAGCAAAAATAAAATGTTCAGTTGAGATACTGTATGTAATATGCATGCAAGGATTTGATGAAAATTGGCAGTTTTCATTAAAATAAATGCAGTAATTTAAGATGTTGGTTTAAGCTGGCAACACTGCAAATTATGTCCTTTACTCCTAAACCACTGTGTCAGTACCAGATTGTGGAAGAGAAGATTGATTGGCAAGAACTAGCAATACTAGATCACCAGATCTGAGCAAGAAAAAGCAGACAAGACAACACAGAAGTAAAGTATTGTGGAGGAAAGGGCATGACACATTCATAAAGATGAAAACCACAGACTGAGCCCAAATTTGGAAGGAGTTTATTTAGGGTATCTGACATAAGCAACCTAAGAACCAGGCAGGCAAGAAAAAAAACAAACCTTCCTACCTCCTCCCTAAGTTTCCTGGAAAATGACCACAAAAAATCTACACCTACTCTACAGATCTGTAACATGCATATGTATGTATGTGTACGTACACACACACACCCTTTCCCCCCTTACATCTATCCTACAGGAATATATGTATTTGAGTGAATATACAAAGTTATTCATTTATATTGCTATTTATATTGTTTGGATTGGAACATGCACATGCCTGAAAATTCTTTTCCTTTTTGAACAGTTGTATAAAAATATATGGATCAATATGATTTGCTTTCCTCTAGTGACTACAAACCAAACATGAGCCTACTAAAAATGAAGAAAAAAAGAGGAGATTGCCACTGTCATTTTATTTCCTGCATAAACACAGTGACAGTGCAAGAAACAGTTTAATGGCCTTTCCAACATCTCCACCCATTCACACACTAGCACTGTACCCAGAGAAAGGCAATCCTGGAGTATTTCTTCCTACAAAAGCCTGCTGTCACTGTCATTCAGTGCCAGGGTGCTAAGGAGGCATGGCTATGGCTGGAAGGGAGGAATATTATGGATGAAACAAAAACAAACAAACAAAAATGCTATGATTAAGGAACACTGCATGCTCTGTTATACTCTACTTCTGCATGCATACCTCCCAATGTTTTCAATGAGAGCTCTACGTTCATGACAACTACAGAATGGACACATTTCACAGATAATATTAGGGAGTCTAGGTGTGAAAAGCCATGATACAACATGATACGATTTACTAGTATAGTGCAGGATTAAAACTGTTAGAGATTTCCAGTATGAACCGTCAGAGAGATTCCAGGGACAAAGAGTCAAAGGTAGCATCAGATATATATGTGACAGGTAAGAGAATGAGTGTTTATGATATCTCCTTAAAGAGTTTGAAGCCAAGGAAGAGCAACAGTGCAGCCAAAATGACAGAGGAAAGGGATGCAGAAAAATAAAGTGTGAAATATGCATGAAGGTTAGAAGTAAATTTTCCCAAACTATTAGTAATTAAAAAAAATAAAAATAAAAAAGCCAAAATGTAAAACTCTGGCCCTGAGAGGAAACAGAGATGACAGGAACACTGTCATGCCATGAAGCAAGTTGCACTCAATACTTGCATGCCAATAACTTTTACTTCAGCAGCCATATTGTTATTCAAACTTCACTGCATTACAGTAGGTACCTTGCAATTCTTTCATTGTCACTTGGCATATCAACATCCAGGTTGAACTGGTAATTGAGCAACTCTGTGCCAAAGAGGTCATACTCTAAGTAGCATCCAAGTTTAGCAAACTCCAGCAGTTTCTTCTCATCAAATATAGTCCTGCAGAAAATATAAAATACAGCATAAACTTACACAAAAGCAATCATTATTTTCAAATGTGTCAGAAAAAGTGCCAGGCACAAGGCTAGATATAATTTTGGTAACTCCTACTTCTAAGGAGCTAAAGATATTGAAAAATGTTAAGCCCATTTATTAAAAAACTTAGGCCAACATGTTATGGTGTTTCCCCCCTGCTCCTCTGCTTCCCACCTCGAACATCTTGGGATGCAATGTATTTCTTAAAAAGTTAAAATACAGCGGAACAGGCACAGTCATAATGAACCTTAATGGAAGAAAGAAGAAAATGTGTTTTGCATACTTGCAAGCATCATAAAAAAGGAACGAGTGAGAGAATTTTTTATTTGCTTTTAGTAAAAGGAATGCCTATGCTGAGCCAATTGATTGTACCTGAACAAAATGAGATCTGAGAATAATCTTTACATCTCATTTCATTCACTGTGAAGATGCAGATATCTTGTGGGTTAAATATTTGCAGTATTTCACCACAACTCTTCACACTGGTTTAGGACAGAACATGAAATCCAACAGAAAATAAAGATAATGTCATTCTGAGACAGGCAATTGTAATTGCCCATATGGGAATTTGGCCAGGACTCCTTAAGTTAATGTCCCGCTTGTTGTAATGGAATTGTAAAGCAGCACGGATATTAGTCAGAACATGATACATGCATGAGCAGTGTCTCTCTAAGGATATATCTGCACTGATATTTAGGGTTGGCCCTGAGGTCACTCTCAACCAGCCAAACTCATCTATATTGTAACCTGCAACCTAAACTAAAGCCATCTGCATTCTTATTTGAAAAGTGGAAACTTTCTGGGAATACGTAGACTGAGTACAGACAGTAAAGAGGAAAAGTGCGTGCAGAACAATCAGAAGTTAGAAATGAGGAAATGTGGAATTGTAGTTTGCAGATTTCTTGTGCTTGCAGACTGCAGCGTGTGGATACATTTCAAACAAGGTGAAAAAAAAGTGTGGGCTGGAAGATGAACAGTAGTGGGGTCTCCCTCAAACTTAGAAGATCAGCAGAGCATCCAGGTTTGGGATAGACTGCTGCTGGGTATATACTTGCAGGCAACACTGTGGGTTTAGGACAATTTTAAGATTGCCCCCCAGTGTCAGTGCAGACATGGCCCGAGAGCCACACTGCTGCAGCACTGTTTCACAAGGAAAACTGGTAATTACTGAATTAACAACTTCCTGCCATATATTGGTGGTTTTTATGGAAATGTCCTTTCCAAGCATTCCAGAAAAGCTTTGCAAATCTATTGATATAGTTATAATGATGACTCTTTCACCCGGGGCAATCTTGGAGATAGACTGGGTGGGAAAAACATTTAACTAAAAGCAACTGACAAACAATTTTCTATGTTCTTTCATCAGGAGCACAGATAACTTATAGCAAGAACATTCACTCATAACACCCCAGTTCTCTTCCTGCCTCATGTCACAAAATCATTTTGCTCTGTTTAACTGCATCATAGTCTGTTGCTATGGAAATGACTGATGTCACAAATTCAATATTATGACTTAACAGCAGGATCAAGTAGGAGGAACAGATGGGCTAAAGAGAGAGAAACCCTTGTTCAAACAATTCTGCCATCAGCAGGAGTTTCAGAATTGCCAACTGTAATTAATAATAAAAAAACTTTATTTTTGAATATATTTCACAGTTTATACAGGATAAGAGTTTCCTACCAAATAGGCTTTCAAGTGCACTGCAGAAGGTGGGCAGCTTTTATTTCCAACACTGCACAGTTCACAGGGCTGCAGTAGCCAAAAGAATGAAGCTGATTCCTGGGCATATGGCAATCTTATTTTTTTTAAATGCCATATTTCATAGGAGCTTTGTCACAGCCAGGAATAATTATTTCAAAAGCTATGTTTAGTGGTTGGCTCTTTTGGGGATGATGCATGCTGTATCTAATATAGAGAGTATTATCCATTATAGGCTTTTCATTTATACTATGGATATCTTAACAGTAGCCACTGAAGTTAATGAATGCTGACCTGGCTATGTAACAGAAGCACCCTGATGGGTCAGTGAGGCCAGGAAATAAAAGGGTGTCACATACTAGCCCTCCTAAATGTCACACTTCTATTACCCTACCTCAGCATAGTAGATAAAGAAAAGTTGTACTGAAAAACATGTAAGTCCTGGCAGCTAGCCTTGTAGCTCACCTAAACAGTACTGTAACACCTTGAATAAAGACAGGGATGGAATTTTGAACATCAAATGTTTCCAAAATTTTAAGAGATTAGGAATCCAACGCCCACATGGATTCCCTTTGCCAGAGATGGGCCCAAGCTGTTTAAACATACATCCCGATGCAGAGGTTAACTTCAAGTTCAAAGCAGGTCAGATTCTGTGTTCTGATGAATATGAACTGCACCTCTTAGTGTGAAATGCAATGATGTAACAAAACCAGAAAGCATTAAGGGTTGTTCAGCTGATGCTGCCACTTACAAATTTGTGGCCTCAATTTGCCCTTTGCTTATACTATTCCCCACCCCCATCCATATAATTTCACTGACTATAATGTACCTGTACAGGTGAGCAAAGAATCAGGTACTGTATGTTTGAAAAATGATTGTATTTACCATACTGTACTGAAGTGGCTAAGCAAAGTGCAGAGTATTTTCATAGGCAGAGATTACTTATATTAAGAAAAAACAAACAAACAGATCTACAGAAGATAAATGCATACATGCATATCACTGAAAACAAATTTTGATTGTTAATGGAATCAAAGTAGTATTTAAACTCTCCCAAATATCCCCCAAATATAGGTGCATAAAACAGAGTGCTGGTATAAGTACATAGTGTCTTTGTCTGAGTTGCAATCTTGTGGAACATGCTGTTGACAGAGATCTTCATATAACACCCTCAACAGGAATAAACAATCCCAGTGCTGAGAGTCATATGACCAAAAACAGTTTCCATTTACCGGCTGGCCATACAAATCAATATCTGGATATCTGCCAACTGATTGTGAACTGTACAAGGGCACATAACCTTGTCTTGGCCAAACAGACTGTGCTTTTCAGTCAGAAGGACAGCACAGTGTCTCTTCCATTTCATGTGTGTATTACAGCATCTGTTTGTGTGTTTCTAAAGGAAATGACATCTTGTTCTCTGTAAAAAGACAAGACCTATCTACCATCCCACTGGGATTTATTTAAAGTTGTATTAGTCTTGGATGGTAACCAAGTTTGGAGAATGTGGTTTAGTGTTTGGCTCGGAGTCCAGTGAAGTCAAACCCCTGGATGGAAACCTGATTTTTTAAAAATTCTTGGCCCACGTCAACCATGGTTTAAAGCCCAGATCCTCAAAAGTATTTAAGTGGCCGCTGTTGAAATTGATTAGCACCTAAACAGCTTTGAGGATCTGGGATGAAGAGCCTGATCCAGGCGGTCACTAACTTCAGTGGAAAATGATCAGGCTTTACATAAGCAATTCTCTAGTCTCAGCATTGCCATATACAGGACTGATTCTTTTAATTCTTCTTAAAAGATTCACATCTTGTACTGATATTAAAAACATTTGATAAACTAAATGGTTTGAATCTGCTACATAATCCAAAGTAATTCCATTTTCAGAATCCGAGAAAAGTAGGGCTAGAAGGGATCTCACAAGGTCATCTATTCCAAACCCATGCTCAAGGCAGGATCATCCCTATTTAAGCCATCCAATAGAAATGTTTGTCTAACCTATTAAAACTCCATGAGCAATCCTTATGTACAAATACCAGGCACAATGCCTGATAAAATCAAGAACGACTTAACTTGCAAACAGGTAAAGCAGAGAGATGAAAGCCCTGTCCATGTCTTGTCTTAAGAAAATCAAATAAAAGGAGCATGTCTCCCCACTACAGAAGAAGGCAAAACCGCCACAGTCCATTCCTGGAAGAAACACATCTAGAATCACTGCAGAAATATAATACCAGAACAGCCTCTTACCTGTCAAGGTGAGACATGACCGTTTTTGAGAGATCAGCCCCAGCTTCTTGTAGGATGCGAATAATCTGGAAAGGTGCATCACTATGCCTCCCAGGATGGATGATGACAGGGCAGCCAAGTTGTGACTGAGCATGTGCTGTGGCCTGAAGCACTTTTTTTTCACTCTCAGTCAAGGGCCAAGAACAACCAATTTCTCCTATCACACCACACTTGATGTTGGTTCCATCAGCTCCACTGAGTATTTCATTAACAATGATGTCTGTAAGCTAACACAAGGGAAAATGAGAGAGATGAGGGAACCAGTGTCCATGTGAAGTAGTACCATTTTTGTTCATGATGCAATTCCAACTTCCTGCAGCTGTGATCACAGATAATTTTAGCCTAATTAAATGTGGTTTGCACCTTGTGCCAGGTGCAAGATCACACAATGTAAGATGGGTTTACACTAATGTAAGAGTCTTCACCCACAAAACTGCACTGGCTTAACTAAGAGGTAGCTTAACCACAATTTATGTACTGATTTAATGATCTCTATTCAAAAGATACTGGTGTTTCTAAATGAATATAGTTTAAACAATGTAAAAATAGTGTAAGATATCTCCTAAAATAGTTTTAAAACTTATTTTAAGTCAAACTCGTGTACAGTCTATATTTTTAGAAGACCTCAAAGTACAAGGGAATCAATATCACTTTGGTAGGAGAAAGACAAAGTTTGGTTTAGATTCTGGTCATTGAGACCACGGAGCAAATGTTGTGCCACGGATTCCAGTGTAAATCTAGACTAATTCCACTGAGTTCAGAATTGTAACTGAGAACAAAATTTGTCCCTTTATTTTTCCAAACCAGAGTTTCAAAGCATGTAATTTTGCAAGCACAAATGATGCAATGATTTACACAGAAAATTAGGTAGTTAAGCTTCTAAATGCCATTTTTGTATCCCTAAGAACAGCCAGTGCTTCCTATCATATATTCAATATCTAAGCCTGAATATTTAATATGGAATCATGATTTTAGGGTACAATTTAGAAAAAATAAATGAACATGAAAGAGGAAAGATCTGGCAAGAGTAATTTACTAGATTTAACTCAGTGGCTATTAACTAACAAACTAGACCATCAGCAAGCAAGTAAAATCCATTTAAATATAAAATATACCTGTAATTAATTTAACCCCATCTCATCAATATACACACACATCCTCTCCATCCAGAGCAGGGTAAGACCTCAGCTGCTGGAAACTTAAGTCAATGGAGCTATGACCCTGCTGTTAAAACAGCAGCCCTAGTAGTTTGGCACTGTAGCCACACATTGACTCCTATGTGCAACTGGGCTCTGTCCTATTCTTGGTATGTACAGGCAACATACACTTCTCTGTACTCCATCTGACAGTCTCATAATTTCTGCAGCAAACTTGCCATATAGGCAGCCTTGGCCAGGTTTAAGTAACTATGGAATTGATAAGTACACTAAGTCCATTCATTGTTTTAACTAAGTAACAACAAAACATTCAAATGATTTAGCTGCACCTTAGGTAGAAAATAGACTACAGCTTTCTTATCAACATCCATGAGGAATTATTGATCAATCACTGCAAATGTATAAGCACTTGTCCTTTGAGGTTAACTTCTACCTCCTGCAATTAATCCTGCAATCACGGAATGGACTGCTGACTACACTATTCCCTGAGACTCAGTCCATGGATAGAGCTTGGAAACCTTTGCCGTAGGGGACTCTCTTATTTTTGGCCCACATATTTTGTCTGGCAAATTCCAAAAAAGACATGCATAATTTTGAGAAACAGCACCAGTCCCACAAATTTAAACCAGCCCTTCAGGTAGTATAAATCAGCGTAGCTCAAGTGAAGTCAAGATGCTGACTTCAGTTTACACGTTCTGAGGATCCGGGCTTCTCTTTTAAAGATTAATTTGATTCCTCTGTAGCAGGTATCTTCACTTTCTACTCAGATCCATACATTCACAATCTTCAGGCTGCTCATTTCTCTTTTGCTTTAGAAAGCTGCCTTCTCTCTACCCATCAGTGTATCATCCTAAAAACAGCTGAATGGATATTTACTATGGAAGTACCGATACAACTCATCCATTCTTAGATTCTATTATTTTTACTATTAGGCAAACAAAGAATAAGAAGCAGTCTGTTCCAAAAGGGTAAAGAAAAGTGATATATTCTAGAGGCTGCATAAATAGACTGACTTTTTGCAAAGGTCCTATTAAATACAAGGCTTTTTATTTTCTTTTTAAAATTATTAGGTGAGAGGGGAAAACTAATTGGAAAGAGTGACAAGGAAGGTAGAAGGGACATGAAAGGGAAATATTTTATAAAAAAGAAGAAAAACATAGTCACTGCTTTACCAGGATGATGTACACATGTAAAGTCATTTTTTTACTGTTCAGTTATAACAACCCCCTGAATGAAAATGGAATTTGAAAGATGGAATTACTGCATTCTTCAGTTTTTAAGAACTGACTCTATTTCTATTTGGTCAAGTTTTCCTTACTCTGTCAGTGTTCTCTTGAGTTATATGTAGACTCGTTATATGTTTTTAAGTGCTTACCTGCTCCACTGACATAACCCGAATCTCAGGAGAATGAGTGCCATCCACATAAAATCCAGCCCCAGCAATAATGTGAACTCCGGTTTCTTCAGCAAGTTTCTTCAAAGTTTTCACATCTCGACTTATTCCTGTGGTTGTATTTTCTACTATTGTTCCACCACCTGCTGCCTTAAAATGTAACAGTTCCTCCTTTACAGCATCTGTTTCCTGATACAGAAGGAGGTTCTCTTTATGGCTATAAGGATTCTGTTTAATCCAGAACAAGTTCTTCATCTCAATGTGCCCTTCAGACAACGCTTCTTGATCTGAAGAAGGTGGTACAAAGCAGGATTTGTAGCTCATTGTTAAGTGTTCATGGGTCATGGTGCAGCCAAGCTGGGTAGGCTCCACAAGGCCCAGTACAGTCTGCACTTTTCCACTCAAGGAAGACATTCTTATTTGATTTTAAAAAGGAATAAAATCCAGATGCCAAGAAATGGCTTGCTAGAAAAGAGGAAGGAAAATTAAAGGTCAAAAACTGATAGAAAAAGTACCTTCACTACACACACACACACACACACACACACACACACACACACACACACTGTATCAGTGCT